TGCCCATGGGCTGGGCTGGGAGCAGCATCCCAGAGTGTGCCCAGGGCTGGGAGCAGCATCCAGAGTGTGCCCATGGGCTGGGAGCAGCATCCCAGAGTGTGCCCAGGGCTGGGAGCAGCATCCCAGAGTGTGCCCATGGGCTGGGCTGGGAGCAGCATCCCAGAGTGTGCCCAGGGCTGGGAGCAGCATCCCACAGTGTGCCCAGGGCTGGGAGCAGCATCCCAGAGTGTGCCCAGGGCTGGGAGCAGCATCCCAGAGTGTGCCCATGGGCTGGGAGCAGCATCCCAGAGTGTGCCCATGGGCTGGGAGCAGCATCCAGAGTGTGCCCAGGGCTGGGAGCAGCATCCCAGAGTGTGCCCAGGGCTGGGAGCAGCATCCCACAGTGTGCCCAGGGCTGGGAGCAGCATCCCAGAGTGTGCCCAGGGCTGGGAGCAGCATCCCAGAGTGTGCCCATGGGCTGGGCTGGGAGCAGCATCCCAGAGTGTGCCCATGGGCTGGGAGCAGCATCCAGAGTGTGCCCAGGGCTGGGAGCAGCATCCAGAGTGTGCCCATGGGCTGGGAGCAGCATCCCAGAGTGTGCCCATGGGCTGGCTGGGCTGGGAGCAGCATCCAGAGTGTGCCCAGGGCTGGGAGCAGCATCCAGAGTGTGCCCAGGGCTGGGAGCAGCATCCCAGAGTGTGCCCATGGGCTGGGAGCAGCATCCAGAGTGTGCCCATGGGCTGGGCTGGGAGCAGCATCCCAGAGTGTGCCCATGGGCTGGGAGCAGCATCCAGAGTGTGCCCATGGGCTGGGCTGGGAGCAGCATCCCAGAGTGTGCCCATGGGCTGGGAGCAGCATCCAGAGTGTGCCCAGGGCTGGGAGCAGCATCCCAGAGTGTGCCCAGGGCTGGGAGCAGCATCCCAGAGTGTGCCCATGGGCTGGCTGGGCTGGGAGCAGCATCCAGAGTGTGCCCAGGGCTGGGAGCAGCATCCAGAGTGTGCCCAGGGCTGGGAGCAGCATCCCAGAGTGTGCCCATGGGCTGGGAGCAGCATCCAGAGTGTGCCCAGGGCTGGGAGCAGCATCCAGAGTGTGCCCATGGGCTGGGAGCAGCATCCCAGAGTGTGCCCAGGGCTGGGCTGGGAGCAGCATCCAGAGTGTGCCCATGGGCTGGGCTGGGAGCAGCATCCCAGAGTGTGCCCATGGGCTGGGCTGGGAGCAGCATCCCAGAGTGTGCCCAGGGCTGGGAGCAGCATCCAGAGTGTGCCCATGGGCTGGGCTGGGAGCAGCATCCCAGAGTGTGCCCAGGGCTGGGAGCAGCATCCAGAGTGTGCCCATGGGCTGGGCTGGGAGCAGCATCCCAGAGTGTGCCCAGGGCTGGGAGCAGCATCCAGAGTGTGCCCAGGGCTGGGAGCAGCATCCCTGAGTGTGCCCATGGGCTGGGAGCAGCATCCCAGAGTGTGCCCAGGGCTGGGAGCAGCATCCAGAGTGTGCCCATGGGCTGGGCTGGGAGCAGCATCCAGAGTGTGCCCAGGGCTGGGAGCAGCATCCCAGAGTGTGCCCAGGGCTGGGAGCAGCATCCAGAGTGTGCCCATGGGCTGGGCTGGGAGCAGCATCCCAGAGTGTGCCCATGGGCTGGGAGCAGCATCCCAGAGTGTGCCCATGGGCTGGGAGCAGCATCCCAGAGTGTGCCCAGAGCTGGGAGCAGCATCCCAGAGTGTGCCCATGGGCTGGGAGCAGCATCCAGAGTGTGCCCAGGGCTGGGAGCAGCATCCAGAGTGTGCCCATGGGCTGGGCTGGGAGCAGCATCCAGAGTGTGCCCATGGGCTGGGCTGGGAGCAGCATCCCAGAGTGTGCCCATGGGCTGGGAGCAGCATCCAGAGTGTGCCCATGGGCTGGGAGCAGCATCCCAGAGTGTGCCCATGGGCTGGGAGCAGCATCCAGAGTGTGCCCATGGGCTGGGCTGGGAGCAGCATCCCAGAGTGTGCCCAGGGCTGGGAGCAGCATCCCAGAGTGTGCCCATGGGCTGGGCTGGGAGCAGCATCCCAGAGTGTGCCCATGGGCTGGGAGCAGCATCCCAGAGTGTGCCCATGGGCTGGCTGGGCTGGGAGCAGAGTCCCTGAGTGTGCCCCCAGGCTCTCTGCTGCAGCCACTCTCTCCTCCCTGAGCTGTCCAGCCTCCTGCTCCTGACTCACCTTTGCCTGCTGGGGAATGTGCCTCAGCTCAGGCCCACCAGCTGGGCACTAAATATAATTCCCTGTGCTTTTCTGAGCCAGACACACATGCAGCCACGGCGGGCTGGGCTGGCTCTGTGACACTGCTTGCCCCGGTCTGTCTTGCCAGGAGGAAGTTGGCAGCTCCAGCTGTGCCAGCCCAGCAGCCCCAGCCAGGCCACAGGGCAGCCTGGCACCAGCTCAGCTGGGAGCGCCCATCCTGGGGATTTTCTAACTCCCCTTTTTCCTCACAGGCAGCCAGAGTTTGGTGGCTTCTTGCCAGGGTGCTTGGAGCTGCCAGCTCCTCTCCAGGGCTCTGACCTGGGGGTTCCTGGTCCTGTCCAGGCTGAGCAATCCCGATTCTCCCAGTCTTTCCTCACAGCAGAGGAGCTCCATCCCTCCAATCTCGGTGCCCTCCTCTGGCCACCATGTGGCTCCCTGGGGTGTCCCCAGGCGGGGGATCCCCACAGAGCTGGGGCCATGGGAAGCAGGGACAGCGCCTGGCGCTGCCTGAGCCCTGAGCAGGGCAGTGGGTCCAGCCCACACCAGCGAGGGGATGGGCAGCTCCTCATCCAGCAGCTCCTGGAGCTCCCACCATGCTCCCCAAAGGCCCTTTCCCTTGCTGCTGCAGCAGGGCAGGGTGGCACTCCAGCTCCCACATCCCCCGGGGTGCCCGTGCACCCCAGTGCCCCTGCTGTGCTGGGCATCCTGCCCGTGCCCCTGCAGGGACCTCCCGAGGTGCCACCTTCCCAGCCAGCTCTGCTGAGCCTCCTGGCATGTCACCAGGTGCCCTGTGATCCCCTGGCACCGGGCTGAGCCAGCTGTGCCCTGGAATTAGGGATTAACACCTAATCATCCGTGTGATAATCCCCGGCCCAGACGGGCAGAGGGGAGCTCAGGGGACACCCAGACGTGCAAGGGCACTCTGGTGACCCGGGGTGGCTCCCACAGGGTGGCAGCGGGACCGGGGCGTTGGGCAGGATGACCTGTGACGGTGTTCACAGGGGTCTTAGGTTGAGGGAAGAGATGAGAATGTTGACTCCATGTTCAGAAGGCTTGATTTATTATATTATATTATATATAAATACATTAAAACTATACTAAAAGAATAAAACAAAAGGTTTCATCTCGGAAGGCTGGCTAAGCTAGGAACAGAAAAGAATGAGTAACAAAGGCAACAGTCTCGAGTCTCTGCCTGAGCTGGCTGGGCTGTGATTGGCTATTAATTATAAACACCTAAGATGAAAGATGATCTTTGATCATAATCAAAGATCTACCTGTTGCATTCCACAGCAGCAGATAACCATTGCTTACATTTTGTTCTTGAAGCCTCTCAGCTTCTCAGGCAGAGAAGTCCCTAAGGAGAGGGTTTTCCCGAGGAGATGTGTGCGACCATGAGCCGAGGCGTTCCGTGCAGGAGCGGGTGCCGGGGCCCCGGGGGCCCGGGCAGGGTGTGTGGGTGCCGTGCCGGGGCCCAGCGCAGCCGTGTGCTGCCGTGGGAGCGCGGTGGCAGCGCGGTGACAGCGCCGTTCCCAGCCGCTTTTCCGGTGTGAAACTCGGCGGCACCGCGCCTCGGGGCTGGCTCTGCGCTCCCGGTGCCTCCGCTGCTGCTCACGCTCGGCTCGGCTCGGCTCGGCTCGGCTCGGCTGGGCTGGCCCGAGGGACCGGCGGTGCCCAGGCAGGGCCAGCCCGGCCCCGTGGGCTGGAGGTGGCGTCACCCGCGTGTCCCCGCACGCTGAGGTGCCCGTCAATCCGTCCTTCCGCTCTGGGTTTTCCTCCCTGGCACGCGTTATGGGGGTAATGGAAAGTGTGATGGGGCAATTTAAATTTTCCTTGTTATCAGCGCTCCGTCAGAATGGAATCTTTGTCTCATGTGAAGCGTCGGGCAAGGGGGAAATTCCCCTCCCACCTGCAACAGCCAGGGCTGTCTGTGGTATCCCCAGCCCCTTCTGTGGGGCTGTCCCCCCTTGCAGCCCCAATGCTCATTGGGCTCCAGACACGGCTTGGGGCTCCCCTGCCCCCCAGGCTGCCGGATCCTTATCCATGACCCTCAGGGTGATGGGAGAAAGAGAGGCAGGGAATTGGAGCCTGGATGCTCACAGCACCTGCTGTGCCTGCCGGGGGTCAGTGCACCCCCAGCCCCAGTTTGGGGTGCTGGGCAGAGGGTTGGGAGCCTGTCACAGGGGACAGGCCTGGCCCCTGGCTTGTCACAAAGGCTGAGCCCTGCGGGACAGAGCGGTGAGCTGCGAGTGTGGGGCTGCTGGCAGCATCCCCGTGCTCTGTCCCTGCCCCATCAGAGGGGGTGCTGGGGGGCAGGATGGGGCCCCTCCAGTGCCAGGGCGTGCTGGGCAAGCTCTCCAGCGCAGCACCCGCCCCAGCTGCCGCCCTTCATGTGGTTTCCTCCTCCCTGCTGCTGTTGTGGCTGAGGGGGTGCAGCACCCGCTGAATTCCCTGTGCCCTGGGGCCACCTGCAGCCACCCGGGCCCGGGGATCTGCCTCTGGTAGAGCCTTGGCCCATCCTCGAGGGGTCCCCTGAGCACCCCAGCACCGGGGGCACCACATTTGCTGGGGCTCTGTGGCTCCCTCACACCCTGTATCTCCGTGTAGGTGTGAGCCCCTGGCATGGCACAGCCCTGCCCCAGCCACCCCTGGGGCTGGCCTGGGGGGCTCTGCACGAGGGGCCAGGGTGCAGAGACCCCCGGGGCTGTGCAGGGCCAGGGCAGAGCTTCCCTGGGATGGGCATGGCATGGCATGGCATGGCATGGCATGGCATGGCTGCTTTGGCATCAGCCGGTCCTTGGCCTCTTCCAGGAGCGCAAGTCGTACAAGTGGAAGCAGCTGCTCTTCTTCTTCACCTTCATCACGTTCGCGTTCGCCGTGTGCGTTTACTTCCACCACAACTGGTACTGCGGCCCTGGAGGTGAGGGGGCTGCTGGGGGCGCGTGGGGAAGGGGCTGGGTGCTCCCAGAATCACTGAATCACAGGATTGTTAAGGTTGGAAGGGATCCCTGGGATCAGCAAGTCCCAGCTGTGCCCCATGCCCACCTTGTCCCCAGCCCAGAGCACTGAGTGCCACCTCCAGGCCTTCCTTGGACACTTCCAGGGATGGGCACTCCAGACCTCCCTGGGCAGCTCCAATGCCTGACCACCCCATCTCTGAAAAAATTCCTTTTGGTGTCCAAGAATTCCTCCTGATGTCTGACATCTTCCTAATGCGATGCCTTGCCTTCCAATCCCAGCCCAGGGAAGCTCCAGGTGCCCAGCCACGCTTCTTCCTTGGGGGGGCCCAAGCCCCCCAGCCCCTGCTCTGCTGTCCCAAACAGGTGGCCCAGAGACCCCCCCAGCTCCCCCACAGCAGATGCAGCTGTGGGTGCCCCTCACCTGCTGTGCTTCCTCCCCCAGTGTACACTGTCTTCGCCTTCCTGGAGTACCTGGTTGTCCTCTCCAACATGGCCTTCCACATGACTGCCTTCTGGGACTTCGGCAACAAGGAGCTGGTGGTGAGCTCCCTGCTGGAGGACAAGCACTTCTAGGCAGCCCGTGCTGGGGCTCCTCTTCCCTGTGCTGCTGGAGGAGGGCTGCCTGTTTGCTGTGGAGCTGCTGCGAGGGTCCGCCGAGGTCCCCGAGTGTCTGTCCCTGCTGCACCTGCAGCTCTGCTCCAGGGGAGCTGGGGGCTCTCCCAGGGACTGACCCCCTGTCCTGGCTCCCTCCGGCTCCAGGAGGGCAGGACAGAGCAGGGACAGGGACCTGCTGCTTTGGAGAATGCTCCAGGGAGACCAGGATGCTGCTCCCAGTGTCGGGGCGTGGGGGTCCAGCCCTGCCCTGCCCTTTCTTGGCCTGGGGGGTCTCACAGTTCCTCCTCCAGGCTGGGGGTCTTGGGGCAAGTCCTCAGAAAGGGCTGGTGGCCTTTTGGGCTGGCTTCAGGCGCTGCTCTCTGGCTGGACTGGGGCAGGTCCTGGCCCACGTGTGCCTGAGTGCCCAGGAGGGGAGCAGGAAGGTGCTGGGCCGTGCAGGGACTGCCTGGGGTAGGGTGGGAGCGCACAGGGCACAGCAGGTGCTGGGAGCATCCAGGTCTCACTCCTGCCTTTCCCAGAGGCCCCCCAGCAGCACAGGCTGTGCCAGGGGTGCTGTGCCCATTCCAGCCCAGCAGCACAGGCTGTGCCAGGGGTGCTGTGCCCGTTCCAGCCCGGCAGCACAGGCTGTGCCAGGGGTGCTGTGCCCGTTCCGGCCCAGTCTGAGGAGGAAGGCTGGGTGTGCTGGTGCTGGAGGGCTTTGCCCCAGCGTCCCCATGGCTTCCCCTGTGCCGTGGGGCTGGAGCTGGGACCTCTGGGGTGCAGCAGTGCCCCCAGCGTGCAGCCCTGGCTGCCAGGGCACAGGGGACATGGCTGGATGGCAGATGGGGGCTGACAGTGTGCCCAAGCTCCTCCTGCAGTGCTGCTGGCAGGGGCACCTGGAGCTGTCCTGATTTTGGGGAGGTCTGCACTTGCCAGGGCCTGTCCCACCCCACGGAAGGACCAGTGTGGGTCCCCCCCTGCCCTTCACCTGAGCACAGCCACCACCAAGAGTCCATCCCAGGGTGGGCAGAGCCTCCTCCAGCGGGAGCTGCGGGGCCCTGGCAGAGCTGGGGCCGGGCTGGCTTTGAGCAGGTCCTGCTGCACGTGTCCATCATCGGTGTCCCCATCCACAGGCTCCATCCGTGTCCCTGCATGCGTGTGGCGCCTTGGCTTTGAGGTGGAAATAAAGCACTAAGTATTTTTGTGAGCTCCTGGCAACTTCCATAGCATTTCTACCTGGCCCAGCCTGGCATGGCCCTGGCACAGCCCTGGAGCAGCCAGCAGGTCCAGACCAGCACCATGGGCAGCATGGGGGCTGGAATGGGGTGCAGGACACGGACCCTGGGCTACGGGGCTGGAGTGTGGGATGCGGACCCTGGGTGATGGAGCTGGGATGCAAGATGTGACCCCCTGTTCTGGGGTGTGGGGTGTGGATCCCTGGAGCTGGGGCTGAGGATGCAGATCCCTGCAGGATCTGCTGTGGATTTCTGGGGTGTGGAATGTGAATCTTGGATGTTGGGGTGCTGGGTGTGGATTTCTGGGGTGTGGAATGTGCATCCTGGGTGCTGGGGTGCAGTGTGTGGATCACTGGGGTTGGAATGTGCATCCTGGGTGCTGAGTGTGGATTGCTGGGGTTGGAATGTGCATCCTGGGTGCTGGGTGTGGGGTGTGGATTTCTGGGGTGTGGAATGTGCATCCTGCGTGCTGGGGTGCAGTGTGTGGATCACTGGGGTTGGAATGTGCATCCTGGGTGCTGAGTGTGGATTGCTGGGGTTGGAATGTGCATCCTGGGTGCTGGGTGTGGGGTGTGGATTTCTGGGGTGTGGAATGTGCATCCTGCGTGCTGGGGTGCAGTGTGTGGATCACTGGGGTTGGAATGTGCATCCTGGGTGCTGGGTGTGGATGGCTGGGGTGTGGGCTCTGGATCCTGCTCCTGGGGCTGTGGTGTGGGACGTGTCCCTGGGTGCCGGATGAAGCCCGGGAAGGCTCAGCAAGGCTGGGAACGAGCCAGGGGCCGGGCTGGAGGCGTGGGACTGAGCCCACCCCGCAGCTGGCGGCCCCACTGCTCCCCGCCCAGCTCCTGGGGCCGCTCACTTGGCCGCAGATCCTGCAGATCTTGTGGATGCTGCGGGGCCAGGGCCAGCCCAGCCCCGGGGACAGAGCCTGGAGCCAGGAGGGCTGGGACTGGCCCTGCTGGGGCTGGCCCTGCTGGGGCTGGGGCTGGGCAGGGGAGCTGCCAGGGCCTTGCTTCCCCCTGTCCCGGGCCGTGGTGGGGCCCTGCCCTCGCTGCAGCCGCCCCAGGAGCAGCTGGGAGGGGAAGAGCCGTGAGCTCATCCTGCTGTGCCGGGCCAGGGCAGGGCTGTGTCCCGCTCGTGGCATCACAGGGTCCCCTCGTCATCCCAGCACCCACTGCTACACCGAACCCCACCAGGGTGGCACCTCGCCAGCCCCACTGTGGTACCCGGACATGGCCCTGGGGATCCCCACTGTGGGACCTGGGTGTGGCTGTAGGGATCCATCACAGTGGGAGCAGGACGTGGCCATGGAGGTCCACCACAGTGGGAGCAGAACATGGTTGTGGGGATCCCCCTGTGGGTCCTGGACATGGCTGTAGGGATCCACCACAATGGGAGCAGGACACGACTGTGGGGATCCCCCTGTGGGAGCAGGACGTGGCCATGGAGGTCCATCACAGTGGGAGCAGGACGTGGCCATGGAGGTCCATCACAGTGGGAGCAGGATATGGCCAGGGGGACCGTCCCACAGCCAGGCCAGGACAGGGCTGTTGGATGCCCACGGTGGGAGCAGGATTGGTGCAGCAGGGACCCCGAGCCCGTGGCTGTGCAGCGGCCCCGGGGCCGTGTCCCCTGGCCTGGGCTCCCAGGGTGGGCTCTGCAGGGCCCCAGGAGGCTGCAGGAGGCACAGCCTGGGCTGGGCCGGGCCGTGGCCGGAGCCCCCAGCCCCGCTGCCCACGCCTGCCCCGGCTCTGGTGCCAAGGGGAGCGGGAACAAAGGCGGCTTGTGGCGGGCGCCGGGTCCCTGCCCTTCCTGCAGGAAGCCCCGGGGCCGGACAAGGGGCCGTGTCCGGACGTGGCCGCCCGCCAGCACGTGCCGGGGGGGCGGCGAGGGGGTGGCGAGGGCGGCCGGGGATGGCACTGCTCCCTCTCTGCTCCCTCGCTGCTCCCTCTCTGCTCCCTCTCTGCTCCCTCTCTGCTCCCTCTCTGCTCCCTCGCTGCTCCCTCGCTGCTCCCTCACTGCTCCCTCTCTGCTCCCTCTCTGCTCCCTCGCTGCTCCCTCGCTGCTCCCTCGCTGCTCCTTCACTGCTCCCTCTCTGCTCCCTCTCTGCTCCCTCGCTGCTCCCTCTCTGCTCCCTCTCTGCTCCCTCTCTGCTCCCTCGCTGCTCCCTCGCTGCTCCCTCTCTGCTCCCTCGCTGCTCCCTCGCTGCTCCCTCGCTGCTCCCTCTCTGCTCCTTCACTGCTCCCTCTCTGCTCCCTCGCTGCTCCCTCGCTGCTCCCTCTCTGCTCCCTCGCTGCTCCCTCGCTGCTCCCTCGCTGCTCCCTCGCTGCTCCCTCTCTGCTCCCTCGCTGCTCCTTCACTGCTCCCTCTCTGCTCCTTCACTGCTCCCTCTCTGCTCCCTCGCTGCTCCCTCGCTGCTCCCTCGCTGCTCCCTCGCTGCTCCCTCTCTGCTCCCTCTCTGCTCCCTCGCTGCTCCCTCGCTGCTCCCTCGCTGCTCCCTCGCTGCTCCCTCTCTGCTCCCTCGCTGCTCCCTCTCTGCTCCCTCGCTGCTCCCTCTCTGCTCCCTCGCTGCTCCTTCACTGCTCCCTCTCTGCTCCCTCGCTGCTCCCTCTCTGCTCCCTCGCTGCTCCCTCACTGCTCCCTCGCTGCTCCCTCTCTGCTCCCTCGCTGCTCCCTCGCTGCTCCCTCGCTGCTCCCTCGCTGCTCCCTCGCTGCTCCCTCTCTGCTCCTTCGCTGCTCCCTCTCTGCTCCTTCACTGCTCCCTCTCTGCTCCCTCTCTGCTCCCTCTCTGCTCCCTCGCTGCTCCCTCTCTGCTCCCTCACTGCTCCCTCTCTGCTCCCTCTCTGCTCCCTCGCTGCTCCCTCGCTGCTCCCTCGCTGCTCCCTCGCTGCTCCCTCTCTGCTCCTTCACTGCTCCTTCACTGCTCCCTCTCTGCTCCTTCACTGCTCCCTCTCTGCTCCTTCACTGCTCCCTCGCTGCTCCCTCTCTGCTCCCTCGCTGCTCCCTCGCTGCTCCCTCTCTGCTCCCTCGCTGCTCCTTCACTGCTCCCTCTCTGCTCCCTCGCTGCTCCCTCTCTGCTCCCTCTCTGCTCCCTCACTGCTCCCTCTCTGCTGCCATCACCAGCCACAGGACACGGGAACACTACGGACACCCCTGGGCACGGGAGCACAGGGCTCTGCCCTCCACCTGCCATGCCAGAGGCAGCACTGGGGCTGGGGTGGCTGGGGGCTGCCCAGGGGGGACCACACTCATGTGCCAATTCCTGCAATGTCCCCATCCTCAGGGTCCCCATTCCCACACAGTTCAATGGCCCCGTGGCCACCTCCTGCACCGTCCCCATTGCTGTCCCTTACAATGTCCCCAAGCCCCCGGGTGGGAGCTCAGCTGGGCACAGAGATGGTGGGGTCAGGACTGGCCACGGCAGGGACATCCCAAGCTTCCTCCGCAGCTGCCCCCAGAGGAGAGCCCTGGCAGGCACCCTGAGCACCCCCAGCCTGGCCCTGGCACGGTGAGGGGTCCCAGCCCAGCTCGGGCCAGTGACACCCACGTCCCTCCAGGGAGTGTCCCCATGCCCAGGAAAGGTGGGTGCGTGTGGGAGAGCACAGGACACGGGGGGCCTGGGCAGGATTTTATTTCAGGAGAAGCAACTCTGGGGGCAGCTGGTTACAGGTGAGTCCTGCTGCCCTGTGGAGCTCCAGCAGCAGCCAGGGCAGGAGCTCTCTGCTCTGGCCACGCTGGCTCTGCTCTCAGCAGGGCTGGAGGTCCCTGCTGTGGGGCTCACCCCAAACCCCCCCAGGGGATCCCGGGGCAGGAAGGGGCAGTGCCAGCGAGATGCTCCGGGCTGGGCGAGTGCCGGGGTTGGCACAGAGGGGCTGGGCACCCCTGTGCCCCGGCTGGTGTACAGGGTGGGGGTGGCAGGTCCCCGTGGGGTGCTCGGGGCTGCAGTGGGGGTGCCCACCCCGGGCATCCCCTTCTCAGGAAGCGTTGCTGTGCCAGGACCGGAGAGGCGGCACCAAAGGCGGGGCGGGGAGCCCGGTGCCCCGGGGCGGCGGCCAGTTAGTGCAAACAAGGTCTGTATTGTTAAAGCTGGAGGCTGGGCTCCCACCGAGGCTGCGGAGGCGCGGCGGTGGCTGCGGGCAGGGGGCGCGGGGGGCACGGGGCAGGGCAGCATCGTCCCTCGGCAGCCCGGTCACAAGAGCACGCACGGCCGCTTGGGCTTGGCCGGGGCGGGGTTGAGCACGGCCCGCACGGCCTCGGTGAACACATCCTTGATGCCCTCCTGGTTGAGCGCCGAGCACTCCAGGTACTTGACGGCGCGGATCTGCTTGGAGAGGCTGATGCCCTGCTGGGTG